TCGGAAGAGACTTCCTTCTTTTGAATTCTGCTACATAAATATAACTAGAACATTTTGTTTCTCCTGTGCTTCCACATGTAAGCATGGACAACTGGACTTGCCATCTATCATGTGAATCCTCCGATACAGTGGGCAATGTGATTGCTAGGAGCTGCAAGACAGCACTGCACCAAAAACTGGGCAAAAATTTGTGTGCACGCACACTCACCTACATGTGGTATTGAAAGGAGTCCTCTATTTCAAGTAATGCTCGCATATGGCAGCTTCCAACTATAGCTGAAGCACTGGGCTATCTGGTAGAGAATGGATCACTGCAAGATAGCACTACGCTATCGCCATTAAGTACACAATAACATGAGAAGGCGCTCAGCACTGGGATTTGCATGTTCCCCAATGTGTGAATTCCCAGTCAGTTCCAAACCATAGGCTGAATGCCAAAGCTTTGGAAGACAAAACAAGCTTTACATTTTTTGTCATGCTAGCTCCTGGTTTTTAGGAATTTAAATTAAATCACATCAATAGGAGTTTTCTGCCTCATATGAAACTATTTCTTCCCTCTTTTAAACTTAGTCCAATTTCAGTGTCAGTCCTTTCTTTTCTCTATAGAACTTCATAGACCTCCACTGATCACTACAACTTACATGTATATACATAAATATATAGATGTGAAAATAAAGGTGATTAAAAGGCAGTATCATCAAGACGCCTAATACGATGCTGTAAAATTTTACATTCTGATCGTAACTGGCCATGCACTCCTAAACAGGTTGGTTTGTTTTTTTTAACTACTCTCTAAATTCTGGCCCTGAAAATATTCAGGTCCCTATGCAGCATCATATTATGTACTAGACCAATCTTTAATGCGAGCTAGTACAGCCACTGTTATGACAATCAGCTTATCTCACCTACCTTTACAGATTCTTCAGAATTACTTCATGGAACCCTGGAGATCCTTGGGGTCTACAATTGCTTTTAGGAAGCTGCCTAGAAAACTTGCTATTAACAGGTACGTACTTAAAAGCTGGAGAGAAATGACAGCAAGCAGTCTCAAGTTCCTGTTGGCAAGTTTGTCTTCTGAATGAAAAGAAGGTTGGAAAACTGTTTTTCGATCTGCCCTCCACCTCCCAGTTACAAAAGTGAAAGATGTTGAAGAAGTTAATTTGCTTTTTATTTTAAGCTATTCGCTACATTTATTGAAGCATTAATGCTCATACAAAACATTTATTCTTTTCAGATCATGATGATAGCCTGAGGGATTTGGCTGCAACCTTCTATCTAACTGAAAAACATTCTCTAAAACATCAGTAGAAGCCTTCTTAGATCATTTAGTGTTGTATTCCTTTTTTTGTGATTCTCTGTATTAAAGAAAAGGTAATTTAAATCCGTATCATAGTCAGTGTTTATTAGTATAATAAATGATCTTGAAAAGCATTTACAGATTTTAGCTATTCTTTTTGTAACCCCACTGTACCAATTGCTGGTGTTTGTATAATTCATTTATGTTAACTTTCAGCTCTATGTTCAATACCAATTACTATGTCCAATTTCAGGAGGGTTCATTGCATGTTTTTGTTTTGTTTTTTTTTAAATATATTTATATGCATACAGTTAACTTATCATCTACCTGTTCACCTTCAACATAGACTACACATTCTACAGCTGTTGCAAGGCACAGGTTATTTCAAACAAAATGAGTCTCTGTATTGTATGAAGAAAACAAATATCAGCTAGAATGCAAAGAATAGCCCCAAACTTATTCATCCATATGATACGTGACAGCTCTCATTTCAGCCACTAATACCTGTGCTCAAGCCTGTCAGAATTTGTTTTAATAGGACGTTAACAGAAGAGAGTAAAATTTGTCAATAGGTTTCAGAAGTGTTTTTGTGTATGCACAGATAGAGAAACATCCCACTTCAGAGAGCAGAACGTATTTTTAAGAAGTTCTCACCTGTATCCACTTATCTGGAATAGCCATGGCTAGTCGATAATCAAAGCCCCCTCCTCCCTCTGCAACAGGACGACAAAGAGCTGGCATTCCCGAAACATCCTTAAATAAAAAAAACACACACAATTTGCATAACATTGCAATTATTAGTTCAGATTTTCTACCATACAGTAATACTTCTATACAAACACTTTGTAAACTATAAACAGCTTCACAGACTGATCTGGATAAGATTAAAAAAAAAAAAATCAGTGAGTGATTACTACACCCAGATTTGCTGTTTGAATGCAAAAGTTAAAGGGAAAAGCATTATGACTTTTCTCTATACTACTACAAAGTATTTTATACAGGGTATGTATTTGAGGGGGAAGAGACCTCACTAGATGCAGAATTTGAAATAATTAGCTCTCTTGAGTTCCAAGTAATCAATAGAAAGCAGAAAGCAGTCAACAGAAGACAAATTAAACCTTCATTGTGTTTATTGATATTTTGCATAAAAAATGGCAGAAAAATAAAAGGATTAATATAAAGTACAGTAAGGAAGAAAAATACCATCTCTTTTCCTAAATGCACAAACCCAAAACTATTGATCCAGCTAGCCCTGGAAAGTGACATGCTCTTGCTGCATAATCTTCCAGTTTCATATTGATGAAAGGCTGATCATTCTTAAATTTGTAATTCAAAGTTCTTAAAATATTTATTTCACCATTTTATTAGGCAATTCTGTCACATAGCATTCTTTTTGTAAAGTTAACTTATCTGCATAGAAAATGCAGATCTCAAATAATTGCAAAATACCTACCTGTACTCAATTTTATTAACTTATGTCAGTGAGAAGCCATTCCACCACAATGGCTATGGATTAACATACACCTCTCGCATCTACACAGGAGAATTTATGGAATTAAATTCTAGCTAGAACCAGGGCTTAATTAGGAAGTTCATTCTGGATTTCTGGATTCAATCCAGTTTTCAATCCAATTGCTGCATTAGACTAGTGAAAGAGCTATTTGCGCTTGAAGTTATACATGCGTACATACACACACAGCCCCCATACTGACATTGAGTGAGGAGACCAGCCACATCACCATGAAGCTCATGGATGGCATCCTGGGGGATAGAAGGCAGGGCTGCCATCCAGAAGGACCCTGACAGGCTGGAGGAATCCACCACCAACAGCAAGCTCAGGAAGTTCAGCCAGGGCAGTTGTCAAATCCTGCCCCTGGGACGGACTAACCCCTGCATCCATCCGGGCTGGGGACTGCCAGGCTGGGGAGCAGCTCTGCCGGGAAGGCCATGGGGCTCTGGGCCAGCGGCAAGCTGAGCATGAGCCAGCAGCCTGCGCCAGCAGCGGAGGTGGCCAGCAGCATCCTGGGCGGTATGAACAGCAAAGCCAGGAGATCAAAGGAGGGGATTAGCTCCCTTTACTCAGCAGTCATTAGATCACACAAAAAGCTTCTCCCACATTCCACATGCTGTAAGTACCAAATACTGAAGCGGAAATACTTTCCAAACTTCTAGGAATAGGCCTATTCCTGTAGAATAGAAGTTCTATATAGGCCTCCTAAATCAGTCAGGAAGGATAAAAACAGACTAATGCTCTCCAAGTTATGCAGGACAAGATGATTTGAAACAAAAGCCTTTCTCTGTGATGACGTGATGCCTACCTGGACAGAGTCTGAGTTCGAGATTTAAGTAGCTCCCATCTACTTTAGTCACAATTTTGAAAGCCAGATTTCTTGGAAGCAGAATTCCAAATTTAATACTATTTATATCTATTTTTATCTATAGATTTTACCTGAACACTGGAAAAAATTCAGTGTTAGTTTGTTCAGCATATTTTCCACTACACATAAACAGCCAATGCCTAAGCATTTGTTCAGACCTTAGTTTGAAATGAGCTGCATACAAAAGAAAAAAATCAAAGCAGTAGGTTTTTTTTTCACCTGTTTGTTTTTATAATACTTCAGGCATGTTGTAACTTTACTTAACATTTTTTTCTACTCATTATACAAAACTTTAATCTCAGCTTTATTTACAAGGTTAAAATGAAAAATAAACATAGTCAGTAATACCTAAAGACTTACAAATTACTAAAAGACAGTGAATATACAGAATATTTAAAAACCTGTAAAAAAATCAGTTAAATAATTAAGGAATATATTATAATTAATTATGTCTAGACAAAAACATTTCTCATGTGGCACTCATTCCATCATCATTATAGGCAAGCAGATATTCTTCATTGCCTTTTGTAATTTTCAGTTATGTCAATAGTTTCTCCTTCTGAAATTCTCCTTTAACCATGCAGCACATTGATCAATTCTGTATTTCATGTAGCAACTCCCCCAGGCAGAAAAATGATGTATTGAAACAGAAACAATTTTCAACTCAAGCAACAGAAACTGAAGACACATCTTATTAAAAAAAGAACTCTTAATAATAAGAGTAATACAAGCAGACTAAACTCAGAATTTCAGTGGTAGAAATGCTTCTATAATCTAAGACTATGTAGAAAATGAAAAAATTTCACTTCAAATAAGCCTACAGCTCAATGAGACCATTTCAAGTTTACCAGTAATTGCTCACCAGATGCTGTTTTTGATAGCTTGTCCTTAAGCTTTTAGTAGTGGTTGTCTATAATATAAAATTTTACCATAAGTAGCAAATGACATTAAGCAGTATTTTGTTTTCTGAAGACAAATAGAGAACTTGTAAGCAATGCAAAAAGTTTCATTAGAAACCTATGTAGTCCCTAATGATACCACATAGATGCAACTTTTTCTTTTAAACAAAAAGAATTATTTAAACAGAAAAATCCTCAAGGTTTGGTTTATTTTCTTTTCTAGATAAAGAGAAAATGTACCTACTCATACAACTTTAACGCTCCAGTGTTTTGTACTATTAAAAAAAATTTCACCTGCCAACAATACTGTTTTTCAGTCAAAAATGTTTAATTGATCTCAATCAGCTCAAGTAATACAGTCTATTTACTCCCTCAAAAACAGGGAGAAACTTAATACTAAATTTAAATTAGCATAAACATTCAACATTTATAAATTTATCACATTTATTTTGAAGGGGAATTGTCAATTATGCCAATATACTTCAAAATATGCAAAACCGCACTAGGCTGTTAATCTTCAGTACCATGAATCGCTAGTGACAAATGGCAATCATGCAAAGGCAATAAACTAATAAAACCAAATCTCATTACAAGTTCAAGGAGATGAAGGAAAAAAACATAAATCCCCACATTAATGACCTATTAATGCAGAGATAATTCCCAAAGTGCATGTTCCAGTTGTTTTTCCCCACAAGGCAAAGTCTGTCCACTAATTAGTATTTCTCAGCTCCTGTCACTCCTTGAGTATCCAAAGTGTGACTTGGTAATTAACAGGAAATTCACAAGCTAATCAATATTAATGTCACCAAGGATGGCAAATCCTGTTCTTACCTCTGCTATGGTTATGCATTCTGGATGCAAGAAATTAATCATGTGGTTGGCCAGCATTAGATAACACAAAGCATCTTCATCCACATGTAGGCCAAAATACTCATTGTAGTCTCCACTGAATCCTGTGCCTAAGAAGGCAGGAAGTTTTAAAGGCCATGGTTACTTTTTTTTTTTTTTAAAAACAGAGATTTTGCAATATGTAATTTTACATGCAACAGATTTATTCATCATTTCAGATCAATGCAGCACAACAAGATATCAGCAAATCTGCAATTTTTGGAGCATTCAGTGAACTTTTACAGCACTATTTCAACAGCAACAGAGTTGCAAGAGGATTGGCTCAGATTAGAGTTAATGAAATTACTTACCAATTCCATGATGGTGATACAACATAGATGTAACACCATCAAATCGGAAGCCATCAAAGCGATAGTCTTCGATCCACATTCTCAAATTAGACAGAAGGAACCTCAAAACTTCCCAGCTGAAATAACATGAATGTATTTTGTAAGCTTTAGAAACCTTGGGATCAACTAGAGGGCCTTATACCATGTTCCCCACTTGTATATACAGTACTCATGCTGGACATTTTACCAATTTAACGACTTCTTCCCCATTTTTCATTAGCCTTTTCCTAAAGAATTTGTCTTACTTAAATCTTTGTCTTTTATTGCACATAATTTTAAGATTGCAGATAGGGGTTTAGGAAAAACTGCCAACTATCTATACAGATATCTAAACAGGTTAGTGTTTGAACACGTTTTACATTTTAACACTCATATTTGACACTGTAGTTTTCCTTTGCCTCTCTAAAGATGTTTATACTCTGTTGGAAAAGATCTTATAGAAACGGAAAAAAAATAATAGGTCTGATTTTTGTCCCCAAGATTTTATGAATTAACAGCAATTTTTAGGCAGAAAAAAAGTTGAAAAGCTGTCGTCCCTCCCAATTATTTACAAATCACATGTCACCAGTAGATTACCAGATCACCTACTGTGTTGCAAATATACGTATTTAAAGAGTAAAGCAATTTACAGAAGTTGAGATGTTTTTTGAAATTCAGAACAACAGGAATGGGGTATAACACACGCACACAAAGAAAGCACGGACATGAAATAAAAAATATAAAAGAGGTTCCAATGCAAGTAAGCATGCGGAAGCATTTGTGAACAAATTTTACATTGAAGAACAAAATGGTTTCAGGAACAGTCTTCCTACTATTCATCACCTCCTCTCCCAGGACACGGGTAGCTTCCAAGACCCCCATATCTTGTTTCTTCTGTTCACTCTCCATGCCACTAACCTCTCTGCCACCCTTGGCACCGGCTGCCTCAGGTGCATGCCCTGCAAGCTGTGGCTCCAAAGAGCTCATCCATCTCAATCAGCCAACTACATGAGGAAGTGAAACATTTTTGCCCACATCTTTAACACTTGCCAATGTTATGATTTCTCTCTAAGCAATTTCCCAACATAGCAAAACTACAGCCCCACTTACTACTGAGTTCCTGTTCAGAGAAGAGTGGAAGCTACACAGCAGCATGCAGGGTCTCACCCACCACCCTCTGGTGGGCGAGACTGAAGGGGTACACCTAGCACAAAGCACATCAGTCAGTATCACTGTTACAATTTACCTGTGTACATAGTTGGCATAAGGCAATGAAGAAGACCCTTTCTAGATTTCACTTTATTTAACAGATGTTGGAGGCAGCAGACTCATAAGGCAATTATGACACAAGGAATAAACTCCATTTACGACAAAACAAATGTACCCGCCTTCCTTCCTTCAAAAAACTTCCTCGTATGAAGTGTACTTTAAATATGGAGTTTGTGGTATTACATGAGAAGATGAAGAGGCTGTGGAAATACTATAAAGCTGGTAAAATCCTGACCTCACAGAACAGCCAATTCCTATTTACTTCAATAAGATAACAATAGTTCTCCTTTCTTTCCATGTACTGCACACAGATATATACCTGTGCCTATAAAGACAGAAATATTACCAAATTAAAAGCTCCAAATTTAGGAAATGAGAATCTATGTATTGCCTATTTCCATCCCTGTGTTCCACTCCCCCCACTCCAAATCATCCAATTCACAAGGTAACACTATATTAGGAAGATCCTCAGGATCTTGTCTACAGAACCTTTTATATGTTTGTTATTTCTCAGGTGAGATGATTTGCAATGAATGACTATAGAGAGAATGCTCTGATATGGAAAGGAATAGAAAGGTATCAAAAGTCCTATGAACCGGTAAGCTGGTCACATAAAAATACAACTTCGTGCAATTACTCGCTGTATCTTTTTCTGACCCAGCATCGAATTTGCAGAAAGCCATTTTCTGCACGCTAAACACTGTGAGCAAAGTCAAAGCAGTAGCTGTACTGCAATAAAAATACTATCCCCCACAAAATTAAGGTAATGCATGTACAAAGAGTAATTAATCGCTGTAAGCATCAGCCAGGCTTAAACATGATTTCTCCTCGTTACAGACTGCTTGACTTCATAACCTTAAACTTCTTAAGATGGTGAAGAGGATTTGTACATTTGTAAAACATACACAGAAGTCCCAAAACAGATAACAAATGTATTTTTTTCCACCATTGTTGGCACTGAAGATTGATCTTTGGAAAAAGATGGACAACCAGTAAGAAAATAAATTGTAATGACTTTTACATGAAAAAGTGACTACAGTTAAGAACAAACAAGATGAATTTGTTGAAAAAAAAGATTAGTTAGCAAATTGATGAGATCAAAAACCTGAGTAGGAGCAGCAGATGTTTTCCAACCATCTGATTGCACATGGGAGAGAAGATTGTAAATATATAAATAAACATATTAAATCTGATTCTACTCTAAGCTTGGAAAAATTCCATTTTAGGATGATTTCTAGGAATTATGTCAAATATTAGCAACCATATTTACTTTTAGAAAGGTAACTACACAGCTCCAAAACACAAGCCAAAACAACAGGTTTTTCTGAAACATGCAAAACACACAAATCGTACAGAGGTTCATCATTTCATCCAAGTCAATTTGTGTATGGGAGCAGCACCATTAGAAATAGAAGTTGACAGAAGTAACAGATAACTGCAGAATGCCAGTAGAGGCCAAAATCATAGCACAATTGAAATACATCCACCGCAGAAGCAATAACTCAGGAACATTTCTAGAAAAGTACATCCTCATAATTTTACAGACAGATACAGAAACAGGATAGCATTCATTAAGAATGTAATTTCTTCTAGGCAAAAGCCATATCTTAAATTATGTCCTAACAGTCTCTCACATTTTTGCATACCATAAAATTGAGAAAGTTATTTCATTGCATGCATGATCTAAGGGAGGAAAATATATGCTGTATTATCACTAAGGAACAGAATGATTTACACTGTAAGAAATTTAAGTAACTCAGAATTCACTCAGACATCATTCAAAACAAAGAAGGTCTTTGCAGAGAGATCTTGCTTTTTTTCCCCTCCCCCCTTGGGGCCAATAGCTCACACATTAAAAACCAACTTCTTGGTGAAATGAGCGTATTAGATGACCTGGTTTCACAAGGTGATGAGAAATTTAACAGCTTTCCTATACTAGGTCAGCAGAAAACCTATGAATATGCTTACAAGTCAAACTTATTATTTACTTTTTTTTCTTTCTGGACTAATAAAAAAGAAAAATCATGATTCACCGTAAGAATTCTAAATTCCAATCCGTGATGAACATGAAATATTTAGATGCAAGAAAGTAATGCATTTAAACTAGTTAATTTTGTCACTACGGACAAAAAAAATAGCATTGGCTGTACTTAAAACAGTTTGAAGCTGCAATTCTTGAACCATATTAATGTTGACATTCAGGAACTACATTTATTATAATGTATTATAGAAAACGAGTGGAACTGCTGACCTTGTAAGAATATAGACTTTTATGATGATTTACCTGTTTTCAATTCTTTGTGTTTAATTAACTTAACACACAGTAGCACTGAATTGCTAAAATATTACTTCTAGAATTATCCCCAAACATTTCAACAGCTAGCTGGCTTAAATTCCACCAACGGATTGCTAAACAAAGAAACTGGCACTCAGTAATAGTGCTAACTTTCAGTGAATCTGCTCAAGTTATTTTATAAACTAAACCACCAGATTTGATAAAGATGTTCTTTTCCCTCCCCACTGTTAACCAGCATATACCAGTTTGCCTGTTATTTAGATGCACCTTGTTTGATCAGAGTGGTACAAAAGGGTACACAGTCTTATCCTATTTGGAAAACAACAAAAAGAATAAACTCTCTGTATTTCAACCTCCTTCGTTTACATGGAGAAGTGACTCCTTGCTGTCCTCTAGACAATATCATTGCCAAGACCCCAACCATCTCTAGCCATAAGGGACAGAGAAGTCAAAGCAGTGCAGCAGGTGCGTGCCCGCTTTTTAGCCAAGGGACAATCCTGACTCACACTGCTAGACTGCTCTCGATACCTGCACTCATATCGAACGCCATTCTACAGGAACATACACATCTCTATCAGTCAACAGAATGTGCTACAATCATTAACAGACCAAAAGAGCTTTCGTGTGGTGAGCAAAGATGCCTCCAAAATGAACTGTGCAGGCAACACACACAAGAGAGATCTGTCCACCTGGGGCATACAATAACCTGTGAGTGGAAGGGGTCAACAGCAACATGTCACTTCCCCTGTATCAATCCCAGGAAGAAACAGAGAAGCAGTGAATTAACTTTTTTCCCCACAGTAACAACCACTTTGTTGGTTACATTGAGGCACTGATGTAGAGTGCTTACTTTTTCTAGACTTAGGATTTTGGAGAATGCATTGCATGGCTGTGTCCCATACAGCCAGAAAAGAAACAAGTGGTTCTATTTCAGCAATACTAAGCTTACTCACATTTCAAAGTTAATATTTAGACACAAAATAATCTTTAAGGAAAAACCTTATTCTGAAAACAAGTAATACTTATTAATAGTAGTGGCACAGATATCAATAGGTGAGAAGTTACAGGAGACTAAAGCTTTCAGTTTAACATGCACTGAATTTTTAACTTCACTTTAAAATAAACAAGACAACAACTGACAAAAATCCTGAGGACAGTCCTCTATACACTCTAACTTCCAGCTGCAGGAGAATTTAGCTGGTAAAAGTTTTAAGAATGGCTGCAACATTCTTGCAGTTAAGTATTCTTGAACTATTCTTCATAGTGTCACAGTATTTTGGATATTACTAAAATAAATTAATATGATGAAATTGGTTTTTTTAACATCCCCACCATAAGCAACCAACTCAGAAGACTATCAGTGTGGTCATGATCCCTTTGGTCAAGAAGTTCAAGCTGTTCACTATGAAGATCTGGGGGCCAAGAGCAAATTTACATGTTAGATGTGTAAAGTTGTAAGGTCTCTACTTCTTGTCCATCACAATCTTGTACATGGACGAGGCTAGAAATTAACACCTTCAATAGCAGTAGATC